CTCTTTCAGAATAATAAATTAATTAATGAATAGTTTTTTCCCCCTGTGCCACTATCTTGACCTTTTTTGACTACCACTCCCTCTGGATGCAAGAGGGAGAAAGCACGCATGGTTTACCTTCGTAGCCCCGAGAACATAAGTCATCTCTAGTTCCAAAGACCTTCCATCTACTCCATAACCCGGATCCTTGGTAGAGCATAATTCTTTTTTCATTTCTGTTGCCATAGTTGAAAAACAGGTTTGCTTCATGGATGGCAAAAAGTGTATCATTTTTGCATTCCCATTTCTGGAGACTACTTGCTGAGTCGCATGGATACAGTTGAACTGGTGTCCAGTCAATCTTTGAAGCTACTCCGAAACATAATTTCAAGGAAACACTCATCAGCTGGTATCTGGAAACCCACTTGAATTCCTGTGCCTCAGTTCCATGACTGCAAGCAGCAGTTGTGACGTAGTTGGCTGACTGAGCATGCACACAGACTTTATGGTCTTCATTATATATTAGAAATGTGCTTGTATCTATACATGTAAAAGTAAGGTAAAGCGTAAGTAAAGCAAACATTAGCAACAGAGTTGGTTAAAAAGAACTAGTCTTGTACATCACTGAATTAAACATAAGTCTTCCAGATCAGAAGAATGAATATACAACTCCTGTTGAATTTCCAACAAGTATACAGATAGTCCCCAGTTTAAGAACGAGTTCCATTCCCAAGGTCTGTCCTTAAGTCAGATTCGTATGTAAGCCAGAAGAGTATTATTGTATAATATTGTATAAGTAGTATTGTGCAATTAACTCAAACCATTGTGTATTTAACACGAATCATTGTGTATTTAACTCGAATTTTGCTACAATAGGCTCCATTCTTAATTATGGGTTGTCCTAAAACTGGGCATTCTTAACCCATGGACTACCTGTATTAAACATTTCTAAAAGTGCTTTAAGGATTAACACATGTTGAATTTGACCATACTAAGCTTTCACAAGATTGGCGGATATAAATAAAATTAAACAGCATAACCAGTTTAACAGCTGATGGTCAGAGATTTGCAAATCATAATAAACTGTAGTTAATCTTTCTTCATGGTGAGATTAAAATCCCTATACGTTTTCCTATGGACTATAGTGTCCAAACGTGCTAGTCCTACCTGGGAATTTAAAATATTAGTTTTATTTGCATTTGGGCTATTCTACTTGGGCTCCAAAAACATGAGTAACTACTAGATGGCTGCAAAGAGGTTTTGGTTTGCTCTGCTGCTTTCTACTGGTCTTTAGGAATTTTATTGCCAGATAAACTAAAGCCAGATTTTATTGTCTATGTTTATCACATAAATGGTTTCTACACCAATTGCACTACATTTTATTTTCTGTTTTCTTCCTGCGATGCATTAGGTGGCTTTCCTGCAGAATTATGACCTAGAAATTCTTCTGTTTCAGTTAAAAAGTTGGCCTAGACTTATCTCAGCCAGAAACCAGTTTCCGCCTCTTGTTCTGCTTGGCTTACGCCATTAGGAAGCAGAATACAGCTGATGGGAGTGAAAGACATCACCTCTTGCTGTTTGACAGTCATTTCTTCTTACTGACAATACAAGGAAATATACAATTATCACCAATAGTGATAAAGCCTCCTATTGCATTGTTATAATAATACTTGAATTAGTTTACATGAACTAATAATGTATATGCAGTGTTTGCAAAATGTCATGTTTTATGGTGATATCTAGTGATAAAGGTTGTTTTTTTTTAAAGGTTTGAGAAAGTGTAACCAACTGAAATTGTAACCAATTGTAAGCAATTTTATAGATCATTCTTCTATGCTGGTTTATGACTGTAACAAATGTTGATTAGATTAGATTAGATTAATTAGAAGTAAGAACTGTTGAAACTGTACGTTTCTCTTCAAACCTACGTGTTTCTACAGTGGCATATAAAACACTAAAATCATCAAATAAAAATTCTGAACAATTCAAAAGCACAATAAATAGTTTAAAATAGTTCATCAATGAACTAATAAAAAAGCAGAACACTAAAATGATAATGAATAGAGAAAATAAAAGCAGCAGACTAATTAAAGGGATTATTCTCAACTCATCAGATGAAATATTTTACTTTGAATCATTTCCCCAGGCACATAATTTCATTTCTAAAAGTCCAGGCTTTTGCTGATAGCCAGAAAAGGCTATTTCTTCTAATGGAAGAAAACAAGCCATTATAAATCCGTTATCTTCATTTGATAGCATGAGTAATCTGCAGACCACAGATGGCCTCCCAGCAGGGGTACCCACAGGCTAAGGGGGTGAAAAAATTCAAAATGGCATCTGCAGCCACAAGGTTGAAGCCCTACCCTTTTTAAAATATGGATCGATGCACGTAAAAAAAGGACAGTCACAGCCACCATCTTGACTTCTTTCACACACCCCTGAGGACGTCCCTACCTCCCAACTGTAAGAATCGCAACTCTAGCAATTTACATTACTAAAAAGTAATGGTATAGTGTTAAGGTGTTTATTAATGAAATTTATATCCCGTCTTTCTTCCTGGGATTGGAGAGATGCAGATTCACCAGATTCCAGGTAACACTGGGCCCCTCCCTCTTTCTCAACCCAGATACGAAGTTTTTGTGGGGAGAAAATGAGGGGAGAATTTCATGAATGCTGCCTTGAACTTCCAGAAGAAAGGCAGGATACAAATGCAATGGGGATGATTGTGGTGGTGGCCCTGGCAATGAGAATGATAATTATTATGGCAGTGCATGTGTCAAAGAGTTGCTTCAAAATACACAGGAATATCTTCTCAGGTTGTCTTTAAAGCAGCCACATCCTTTTTTCAGGCTTGTGCAGGAGTCTGAAAAAAGACATAGCTGCCTTAAAGAAGTCCTGTGCTCATGCTCATACTCACCCATTATCTGAAGTATCTCTTCCAAGTAATAAAAAAACAATAATAATAACAATAACCATAATCTAAACATTACATACAGGATACTGCGCATACCAGCAGACTGTGAAAAAACTATCCCCAAGAAAGAGCTATAGAACAGCTATGAAAATAGGTGCCCCCCCCCCCCCCCCCACCCCCCCCCCC